GGGTTGACGCGCAGGCGTTGTCTGAGGCCCGTGGAATGGGAAGCGTTGCAGTCACAACCCAGGAGCAAGTTGTTGTTCAGTTTGATTGGTGAAGCCTGCATGCTTTCTTGAAGCCGATGTCGCGCAACTGACGTCCACGGAGTTCTCTGTAGTTTGTTCGTCTCCTGGATGCGCGCAATCAGATGTCGAAGGCCGCCCGACCCCGCCCAGCGGGGCGCCTGGCCCCGTTTGCGCGGTTGCGGTGACAGTTTCACGAATCACAGGGCTTGAATGGCACGCGTGAGTAGCGTTGGTGCGAAGGCACGTACTGAAAGAGGTTCCTTGCAAGCTGTCGCCTGCACAGCCAATCGCGTGACTTCCGCAATCACGCTTTCTGCCTATGGCCTGCTGGTTTTCGTGCGCGCTTGCTGACGCAGAAACGGCGCGCCGGCACTTAGCTGCAGCCATCATGCACAGACGCCGCTGGCAGATTTGAGTGCACGTGGCCCTGCGCGCGTGGAGCACATGCGCACGCCGCGCGCACTCCGCTGCGCCGCTGCCCCGTCGCCAGCTGCACCAGATCAGCACTTGGTTGGAGCGCATGTGCGTGAGTGCCTGGGCGCGCGCGCCCTCGAAATCGTTCGACTCGGCGCGGGAAGCCCGTCGGGCCCGAGCGGTGCCAGAGGGAGCAATATGGCAATGCTAGCCTGGAGAAGAGAGCTGCCACTGCAGCCAGAAGCGAGGACGTGGGAGAGAAGGAGAGAGGGTGGGAGGGAGAGAGAGAGAGAGAGAGCAAGAGAGAGCAAGAGAGAGAGAGAGGACAAACCATAATAAGAAAAACACGAAACAAGGAACCACCGCCCCCTCCCCCCCCAACATAACTACGTTCGCTTGAAGTCCCAAGCGGGCAACCCTGCAGTTGTGAGCACGAAGGGAGCCACCTCGAAATGCGGCGAGGAGGGAAAGAAACATGGCTGCCGACACCAGCCAGGTCGTCAGAGAGACTCATGGGGACACACACCGACGACAAGCCATGATAGTGTCGATCTTTGTTTCGCGCAGTCGGACGGCGGCACAAGACCGACGCGGAAGACGGCAAGACGTCAGAGATGAAGGATTTGTGTCAAAGGTGCCAAGCGAGCGCTTATCATTCCAAGACGGGCCCAGCCGACGCCCAGGATCAATTTCTCAATGGAAGGGTCCTTGCCAGTGTCGAAACCAAATCAGAGGAAGACAAGCTAGGTCAGGTGATGGCGCGCCCTCAGGAAGGGAACTGCATCATAAAGTACTGCAACAGCAGGTACATTCATGTAGCAGTCCCGAGGCTCCTCTCGTTGTGCATGAGGTCAGCCACCATGACCAAGATGCCAGGGAAGGCGCCAATTTGATGGTTGGCCCATTCGATTCGGGGCAAGTAGGTGCACATAACAAACTGCAGCACAGGAGCTGCAGGCAGCGCAGCAGCTATAGCAGGGGACGCATTCACCTTCCTTCGCCCCCTCTTGAGGCTCCTTCCTCCATCTCCCGCCTTCGACTCGGAGACGTCGTGGGAGCAGCGTTCATCAGCGCTTCACTGGAGAATTTGGCATGGCTGAAGGAATCCAGGGGCCGTAGAAAATGTGTTATTGCACCTCCGTGCCCCGTCGGCCCTGCCACTGCCACGACGGCACACAGTGACATAGTGTGGGACCGATGTCGTCTTTGCGTTCCCGAGTGTACAATTTGGTGTACAATTTTTACCACCCGGCTCTGCGGTGCGTGTGGGTCGTTTTGATCAGCATTCGGCATCGACGCAGGTTCAGTCAGTCTTTTTCTCCCCGTCCTCCTCGTCCTCATCGTCCGCCTCCTCTACGCGGCCAGCTTCAGCATCGCCGCCGAACAAAAAGATTGCATGAACATGAACTTTGGGAGGTTCGTGCACAGTTTCGGATCTGCGCTGGATGCCCCTGGCGCGTTCCGGGCGCCAGAGAGGTGGCCCAGCGCCAATCCAAGAATTCCGCGCGGACATCTGGAAAAATCCGTTCATATGGTGTGCCTTGTTTTCTCTATCATCTTTTCTCCCACCAACCCCGCGACGCGCGGCTGGCGTGGGCGTCATCTCCAGCACGGAATTGCAAACTCCGAAATGTTTGTCGCAAGATAACCGACACCCCGTCAAAATCTGAGTGGACCTCCGAAAATGTCCGTCCGCATTTTTTGATTCCCCAATCGTCCAGTCTTCCACCGGTCATCCAGCCTCGAGTCCGAGAGTCCGAGGAATGTTGCATCCTCCTCCCCTTCCTTCTCCGCACCCTCATCCTCCTCTTCGTCCCGATGCATTGACGCCCTCGTTTGAGCTACCACAGCCACTAGGTCTTTGTAAAGACCGCTGAGATTAGTTTCCCGCTTCCTGGAAGAAAGCATTTCTTCGTACGTTGGATGGCCCTTTGGTGGCCAAAGTCAGTCGCCTCATGGCAGGGCAACGTGAGCAATTTCGGCTGTCGGAACCAGTGCGCACCGCGCCTCCAACATGCGGTGGCCGCATCGTTCTGTTTCCCGAGGGGCGACGCGGCCCTGATCAGTGGATGGCTTGATCGAGAAGGAGAAGAGATCGACCGGGAACCCGGGAACCCAGAACCCACTGAAATCGGCCCGGAACCAATAACCAGTCGGGGGTGGACAGACTTCCTACCCTGACGCGTCGATGCGCGAATTGGCCGTTTTCGGTTCGCGAGAGGGCGTCGCGGCCGTTATTTTTGCGGGTCTAGGTCCGTCGGTTTCGGTCCTAGGCCATTTATTTTCATTAAATGGAGGTTTACTAAAGGGAGGTTTGTCCACCGCCGAACCAGGAACCCGGCAACCCAGAACGGGGAACCCGGGAACCCAGCCGGCCACCAAAATCGGCGGGACATTTTCGGCAAATTTTTCATTTTCCGCTAGGACCCCTTCAGTGCAAGCATTGATTGGAGAATGTAAGGCAACTGAACACGCACCTCGAGCGCCCTCGATGCCTCGACAGCTCGGCCGACGGTGGAACCTGGACGCTCGGCTCTGCCCGAAGCAGAGGCACGGCACCTCGGACACCAGCGGCGATCCTCGGGGTCATGCCATTCATGCTCCAGCCTCGCACTGCACACAAGAGCCAGGCGCGCCAAGTCTAGTCCTGATCGGACGCGCTGAGCGCCGGACCCCCACACAATCACGACCGTCAGCGGCGGCCCCGACAGAGCAATTCCAGTGGGCAACACGCTCCACTAACGTATGCGAGTTCATGCGAGCATTTCTTACCTCGGCCGACACACGCACACGAGAAGCATCATGATTGGTCCACAGGTCGGCTTGGCTGTTTCCAAACCTGTCGCCCCTGGACACGAGCCCCGACTCGACAGCCTAGAGAGGAAGATGCGCTGTTATCTTTCGCACCACCAAGCCGCCGTCACCAAGACCCCCAAACTCGTCCAGGAGCTCACCAAAAGTGTTCCACAAAGAGGCCCAAGCGCAGCAACACAATGTGTTGCGCTCACGACCTCTCTCGTAAATACCGCCATCCACGAAACTGCCATGACAGGCAGCAATAACGGGCGGCACGGCTACTTTCAACAATTGTATGGGCGCAGTCAGCTCAGCACCGTCGATGTCCCGCACAGGACCTGCACAGAGCCCATACACAACGCCCAGGACTCCGAGCGGATCCGACGTCAGCGTGACGATGGCCCAGCCAGCCACGGACCACCCGATCCAGTCCCCCTCGTACCGACCCGTCCAGATGGGCCTTCTCGGCCTGGATCACGCCAGGTCCCGAATGTTGCCGCCACGCAAACTGCTGATCAGATGGTGGCATCCAGCCTTCGGGGACCTTGTTCGCCGCCCACGGGCATCTCTCCAGCAGGAGCTGAACAGGCGGCACGTCAGCCTGATCCGTGAGGACCCGAAACCCGGGGGGAAGCGGGATCCTGCCCGCTCTCTCGCAGAAAAAATAGCGGTGGATAAGTGTACCGACACGTTCGCAGAGCAGACATTTCCGATCAACATCATAGCCAGCCTTCAATGTACGAGACATAGGCCACAGCCTGTTTTTTTCCAACAGAACGCACGTATCCATGCTGATAAACATTAACACGGTCAAGGCCTTTGCACTCATGAGTCAAACATCTCCCTGTATTGGTGAGAGACACCAGCGGTTCCCAAAGAGCATCATGCACCAGATGCCCCAAGGAATCCTCAAATGAGACGTAAACCCATTGCCAGGCCCGAAACGCACGTTCCAGGAGCTGAGACACATACCAGGGACACACCTCACGAACGTCGATCAAGTCACCCTGATTCGACAGCCACTTAAACGGCTCCCAGACAGTCCAGCCCACACGCTCCAGGGATCACCTCACGGCCCCGCAGGCCCTTGGACTTGCGTGTAATGCCTGATACCGACACACACATTCATAGAGGCTTCCCGGATCCGACAGTGCACCCAGGACTTCCACAGCGCACGCACGAAAGCGGCCCGAAACAGCGGATCAAATTTACCGTGACACATACACGAGAGTGTTCGGTTCTCTCCCAAAATACGAGGCTCGATGGCTGAGAAAGCCAGCGACCTGGCAGCCTCCAACTCCCCGCAGATGCTGCCCGTGATCGCTATTCCGTAGAAGCAGCTAGTTTCGATGCCAGCACGAGCAAGCCTAGACGCTGCCAGCCTTCTCTTAGTACCAACCCAGAAATTCATCCTGCGAACCTGTCCACGAGCCTGGTAAACCTTCTCTTTCCGAACATGCCGATCCATAGGTCCACCCGCCGTAGCATCAACCGCAAGGTTACGTTCGTGCCTAACAGCAATCGCCCCAGTGTTTCTCACCAGCTGCCTCCTCATCCTCCTGCTCCTCCTCCTCCTCCTCCTCCTCCGACTGATCCTCTTCCTAGTGTTCTTCCTGCTGCTGGTCCTCCTCCTCCTCCTCCTCCTCCTCCTCCTCCTCCTCCTCCTCCTCCTCCTCCTCCTCCTCCTCCTCCTCCTCCTCCTCCTCCTCCCCCCCCTCGTCCCCCTCCAGCGTGGGCGTCATCGCCTACCTCCTCCTCCTCGGCCACTCGCCGTTCAACACGGCGCTGCGGGAGCCGGACCAGGAGGCGCAGGACGCCAAGGCCGCGCCCCCACGCGGCGCCGGCCTCGGGCCGCGCCACGGACGGCCGAGGGTGCCTCGAGGACCGAGGGATCGCGGGGGATCGAGGGATTTCGGGGGCGAGGGCTCGAGGGGCGAGGGGATCGAGGGCTCGCGGGCCGAGGTTCCGAGGGTTCGCGGGGTCGAGCGTTCGCGAAGCGAGAATCCGAGGGAGCGAGAGTTCGCGGAGTTCGAGGGTCCGAGGGACCGAGGGGCCGAGGGGCCGAGGGGCCGAGACTCCGCGATTCGAGAGCGCGACGGACCGAGGCGGCCCGAGGAGCAGAGGTTCGAGGCATCGAGGCAGGGTCTGGGGATCCCAGGCTTCGAGGCGTCGAGGTCCCGAGGGTCACAGGTCCAAAAGATCGGGGCATCGAGGACCTCCACGTCGTCTGCCTTCCCTGGGCCTCCTCGAGCCTCGACCCTCGAGGCCCTCGAGCCTCGAGCCTCGATCCCCCTCCCCAGGAGGAGCGGCCGCCGGGAGGGGGTCCAGGCCGCGCCGTGCTCGCCCGAGCGGCCGCCAGAACGGAGGCCGCGCTCGCCGCCCCATCGCAGGGGGCGACCGCTCCTCGCCCTCGGCTCGGCGCCCCCCCCGCTGGTGAGGCTTCGTCGCTATCGGAGAAGTCGTGGGCCCTCGCCCCCTGTGGACCGACCCCTCGCCGCTGCTGTCGCCACGACTGGGCTCGCCCCGAGACCTGCTGGGGCAGAGCGCACCGCGGCGACCGGCGGTGCTCGGTGCTCCTGCCTGGCCGGCAGCGCTGGGCCTCGGCTCTGCGGCATGCGGTGCGGAAGAGGTCCCTGGCGGAGCCCACATCTCCATTCTCTCTCCTCCTCTTCGTCTTTCTCGTCCTCCTCGTCCTCCCTCCTTCTCCTCCTCCTATTCTTCTCCTCCTCCTCCTCCTCCTCCTCCTCCTTCCTCCTCCTCCTCCTCCTCCTCCTTCCCTTCCCCCTCCTCCTCCTCCTCCTCCTCCTCCTCCTCCTCCTCCTCCTCCTCCTCCTCCTGTTCCTCCTCCTCTCCTCCTCCTCCTCCTCCTCCTCCTCCTCCTCCCCCTCCCCCTCCTCTTCCCTCCTCCTCCTCCTCCTCCTTCTCCTCCTCCTCCTCCTCCTCCTCCTCCTCCTCCTCTTCCTCCCCCACCTCCCTCCTTCGTCCTCCTCCTCCTCCTTCGTCCTCCTCCTCTCTCCTCCTCCATACTCCTCCTCCGTCCCCCTCCTCCTCCTCCTCTTCCTCCTCCTCCTCCTCCTCGTCCTCCAGCCGCCGTCCCTGCCCGAGAGATTCGCAGGCGGCGCACGAGACCCCCCCGCGGACAGCAGAGGGGGGCGCTCAGCCATGGGAGCTGGGCTCTGTGGCCGAGGATGCTACGCCTGATCGGCTGGAACCCGCAGTCGGCCACGGGAATGAGATTGGAGGAGATTCTCACAGTATGTGCGGCGATCGATGTTTTAATATTCGCAGGCACACAAGCATGTAGTCGACGTGCGCAGGCCCCACTGCAGAGGCATGTCATGGGCAAACTCGTGGTGGAGGCAAAGTACAGCCGTGGGCAGTTGACGAATAAAAGCACGGGCTGCGCAATTGCACTTGGACGAGGATTTCAACAGTCACACATCAGACAGATTTGGGGCAGCCCCGATCAATCATGGGGAAAAGCACTCGGCTTGAGGGTCAAAAAGCAACATCTCGATTATTGTTTCATCGTCATATACTTCCCCCCCCCAGCCGAAGGGCAGGAACGACGTGGGCCACTACCTCACCACCGTGCGCACCCTTGCTACGTGGCTGGACCGAATACTTGATTCGCTCCCACATCGATGCTGTCCGATATTATACACAGATGCGAACGGTGGCATTGGTTTATGCAGATATACGACGGAATGGCAAACATGTGAGGATAATGTTGTGGAGAATACCCGTGAAGCACGCAGAGGAGGTGCAGGAGAAGCACTCAGACGAATCACCGCCAGGCATCATATGTTCGCTTCTAACAATCGAGGGCGGCGAGAACACACTTATTTCAGCGAGAGAGGAAGCCGTCTTATTGATTATGTATTTGCGCCGTGGGGATACGCAGAGCAGATCAATAGATGTCATACCCTTCGACGACTGGGGACACAACTTCAAGCTTATCGAGGGAAGCCCCCACTCGATCACCGACCTCTCTTTCTGGAGCTCAATGTGTCAAAAGATCCCACGGTTGCTCGCCCACATCGTGAGCCGCACTTTGACAAAGATAAATTGCTGGATGCACTGAAGGGCGAGGGGGATGGCAAGGCATCTTTTCTTATTCATGTGGAGCGCACCTCGGAGGAGCAAATGGAATCATGGCCACCGCTGCTGGACAGTGGCACCCCATATGCGTTCTTTGATTACCTGGATAAAGTACTGATGAGAGCTGGACTCGATTTATTTCGTGAGCAGGCTGACCCAGTCCGCCAAGAACAAAATCAACAGCGCCGCGAACTGCTTAGACGGCGAGCCGAAATGAGCGACAAAATGAGCGAGGGCCATGCGGGCATGCACGACATTGACACGCAGCTGAAGGCCCTCTCTCAGACCCTCAAACTCAGTCGCCTTCGGGAGAATTTGATCCGAAGGAACCAGATCCAAGAGGATATCGAGACAGCATGGGAACAGAGAAAGACAGCACTAGCAATGAGGCTTTCACGCCAGGCGGTCAGGCGCCGCTTCGGTCCAAAAAAGCGAGACCTCAGATTAGTTCGCACGAGCATGCCCAGTCGTGACGAATGGTTTCAGGTTTGGACCCTTCCAGGAGGACAAGGAGGCATGTCAGTAGTTGAAGTTCCTCCTCCCGCACCCCCTGAAGCTGTTTTTCCAGGTCCGCTCCACCCGCCCACCCCCGACGTGATCAACATGGCCCAGGAGGATTACGAAAGAGTCCAGGAGGCGATCCAGAAGGCCCCAAGAAGAAGAGGAGTCCCAAAAAACACCCCACCCGTGGAATTGTGGCAGATGCGCATGCAACCAAGGAAAAATTTCGTTCGGCAGCGTCTGGGTATCGGTGCTTCAGATAATATTCCAGATATGCAGTTTTTGTGAAGGAGCGTTGCTGGCAGGCTTTAGAATGATACGGCACCTCGATTTGACTCCACCCCAATGGCATCACAGCAATGGAGTTGCACTGCGCAAGAGCACTGCTCACGGCCCGAAGGGCAAAAGAGTCGCGCATCTGTTCCCAGCTGTAGGGGGGTCTTTCTACGCCGGCCTGCTGCACGTTCCCGCCGAGGAGTTTGATTTCGGCTTTGTCAAGCGGAGACGCCGAGAAGGCGCAATACTTGCTGCACATGCCACCGCATGGAGGCTCACAAGAGCAGGCAGAAGCTTCGCTGCGGGCTTCAAAGATTTGTCAAACGCCTTCGGGACGGGGGACTGGAGGGAGCTCGACAAGACGGTGGGGATATTCGCCTCGACGATCGATGACATCGCATTGGGAAGACAAAGGCATCGAGAAACGCAAGTTAAACTACCGACCAACGATGATGAGGAGGACCCATGGGTGGCACCGAGGGAAGGAGGAACGATGGGAGACCCGTATGCGGTGAAACTCTTCTTGGGAACATTCCGAAGGCCAGTAAAACGATGGATGCAGCTAGATCAACACCCCACCTCCTCAGACCTACAGGCGACTATAAGATTGCCAGGAACAGGCGAGGGTATTTTTACCGACCTCAGCCTTTTTAAGTACGCAGACGACCTGCTGAAGTTCACGCTCGCACATGATTGCCAGCCCGTCTCTGAATTTTTCCATGCGCTCAAGCGCTCAGACGAGATCCTCGATGAGGCCGTGGATACTATAGGGTATAAGCAGAACCTCGACACACAAGTGTGTCTGTTCCATGTGGGAGGGGGCGGTTCTCTGAAGTGCAGAAGATGGATACGAGCAAACGCAGCCAGGGAACTCGGGGGCAGTGTCCAAGAGGAAGCTCGATACTTAGGCCCGCACATCAACCTATCCTGCACGTCATCCTCGGAAGTTCATAGGCATCTAGAAGCAGCCTCGAATGGGTTCTACAGCATGGGGGACTTCTGGGTGCTCTCGGCCCCGTGGAAAGGTCACGCACCGCGTTTATCAGCATGGCCCAGAATGCCATGCTGAGCGGCGTTGAGGCGCTCGACATTTCTGATGTACAGTACCAAAGAATGGATGCGCGACTTGCTCAGCTTGCCCGCGTTCCTCTCCGAGGACGAGGAACGAAGGAGGAGGTCATCTCAGGGCAGGGGGAGGAGGTTCAGAAGAAGATCAGCGCATGGACGAACGACCAGGATTAAAAGTTTTGGAAGATCGCCCGTTGCGAGATCGAAATGCGAGCACGACGACTTCGATGGTATCAGGACTGGAGTAAATACCCAAAGGAAAATGCCCATGCGCTCTGCTCTCCGCTCGGCAGGACCAAGTTTGAACATGGGAATGGGGCCCGCCCATACCGACCGACGGCCTACCCAAGGCTGACGAGATGTGCTTCTCCCTGGGCCAAACGCGTTCAGGACGACTTCCGCGCGGCGGCCGCTCAGATGGAGTCTGATCTGTCGGTGCACCTCGCCGACAACCCTCTGGAGTTCATGGGCCCAAATGTGGCTAAAGAATTCCGTCGGCTTGGTTTTACCGAGCTGCGAGTACGCGAGCTCCGCGCAGCCATCCCTCTCCCCGAGCACGCACCAAAGGCGCCTGTTGGGGGGGGGAAGAGGCGCCACTGAGGAGGCCGCGGCTTAAACTGAACCCCCCCTTCGCATAATTCCGCCCAAGAAAAGCCGACATGTAGCCGTGCCCTGTGGGCGAGCAGCTTTCCTGCGAGCGTGGCTTTTTTCATTGAGCGAGCAGCTTTTCTGCGCGCGCGAGTAGCTAGAGCTTCGGCGCGTTTGAGTGTCGGGCGCGCCGGTCTGCTCTAGCGCAGCCCGCGCGAGCTTCAACCCGATTCGACTGCGGATCTGTGCGTGCGCCATCGCTCCATGATGCGTTCTGCGAGCTTCAG